ACCCCCAGCCTCCCCGGTGATCCCCCACACTGCCTGGGACCGCACAGGGCCCCCCAAAACATGGGGCAGATGAAGCGTCCAGTGGCCTTGACACCACCTAGCACTCACCTCAGTCCCCTTACGTCACCGTGAGGTTCACCTCCCCCGTGGCCGGCGGCACGTCGCTGAACTGCACGGTCACGCGGTAGCTCCCCGCGTCGCTCGCCTGCACCCCTCGGATCCTCAGCGTGGCGTTGGGAAAGGAGAGCTCCACCCGGGGCTGGTAGGAGCCCGTCACCTCCACGCTGCACTTGCAGGGGCGCGCCCACCACGGGGAGGCCGTCCCGCTGCAGTTCACCAGCTCGTACACCAAGATGGGGCGGTTCCCCGGGGCGAAGACCCACCGGATGCTCACGAGCGTCCAGCTGGGCGTGGGGGTGTGAATTGCCACTCGCACGGGGCTCTTTGGTGGGATGAGGCAGGGTGACGCAGGGGGTCCTGGGAGCGACAGAACCCACAAGAGACCTTCAGCTGGGGGGCGGGCAGGAATGGACGTGAGAGCCCGGAGAATGCGAACTATGAGGTGGTCTCGTCCCTTCCTCCCCTCGCTCCAGACACAGCCCTTTGCTGCCACCCCCCAACGTGCCTCAATCGCACGGGGCTCTTTGGTGGGATGAGGCAGGGTGACGCAGGGGGTCCTGGGAGCGACAGAACCCACAAGAGACCTTCAGCTGGGGGGCGGGCAGGAATGGACGTGAGAGCCCGGAGAATGCGAACTATGAGGTGGTCTCGTCCCTTCCTCCCCTCGCTCCAGACACAGCCCTTTGCTGCCACCCCCCAACGTGCCTCAATCCGTCCCTTGTACCCTACCGAACGGGGACATCCCGCTCTGCAGAAACCTCGGCGTTTTTCAAGGGGTCGCTTTGCTCATTTTGACTCTGGCCTTTTGTTGTATCATGCAAGCAAGGGACTAAGAAACTTCGATAGGGGTCCGTCTAGACTATAGGCTTTTGTCGACAGGGGTTCCTATGTCGAATTTAGCAATTTCAAAATAGTTTTCTAGTGTAGCCATGGCCAACGTGTCCTTAGAGATAGGGGATTTCCAGCAATTCATACAGCTAGCTTGGGACATCCCGGTTCAATACCTTGTCCTACCAAAGACTCCTGGTGTGAGTTGACTAAAGCCTAGATAGAAAATGACCGGAGCAACAAGAAGACCCAGAAAGCCTGACTTAAGTGCCCAGGTTTCTTCTGCAATGCTAGAAGAAAGACAAGTGCCACAAAAGCGGGCACTCAAGTTGGGCAGGGAACTGTCCCTGCTCGCCTAAGGGAGATGCTGATGAGAAGTTGGCTGGGTGCCTACATCTGTGCAACACAGAGGGTCCGATCTCTTTGTGCAATCCACAGCCAGGAGCCCACTCCTGCAAACAAGTGTCTAAGGGGTTGCTTGAGGGAATGAGTGAGACACCTGCCTCGCCCCACATCAAATGGCAGGAAGAGGACTTGAATAGGCAACAGTTTTTAAAAAAAACAGAAGGCAGTATTTCGTCACACAATGCACAACCTGTGGAACTCCTTGCCAGAGGACATTATCAGTGGGAAATAGGTCAATGGAGGGATGATAGGAATTACTAGAGAACTTTCTGGGTGTCTGGCTGGTGAGTCTTGCCCACATACTCAGGGTTTAGCTGATCGCCATATTTGGGGTCAGGAAGGAATTTTCCTCCAGGATAGATTGGCAGAGGCCCTCATACTCAGGGTTTAGCTGATCGCCATATTTGGGGTCGGGAAGGAATTTTCCTCCAGGGTAGATTGGCAGAGACCCTGGAGGTTTTTCACCTTCTTCTGTAGCATGGGGTACAGATCACAGCTGGAGGATTCTCTGCATCTTGGGGTCTTCAAAGTATTTGAAGGCTTCAATATCTGAGATATAGGTGAGAGGATTATTCTAGGAGGGGTGGGTGAGATTTTGTGGCCTGCACTGTGCAGGGGGTCAGACTAGATGATCATAATGGTCCCTTCTGACCTTAAAGTCTATGAGTCTATGAGACATGGTGAGGACCAAGGCTTTAACAGGATTCAAACAAGCACTAGATAAATTCATGGAGGATAGATCCATCGATGGCTATTAGCCAGGATGGGTAGGAATGATGTCCCTGTTTGTCAGAAACTGGGAATGGGTGACAGGAGAGGGATTCCCTGTTCTGTTCACTCCCTCTGGGGCACCTGGCGCTGGCCACTGTCGGCAGACAGGACACTGGGCGAGATGGACCTTTGGTCTGACCCAGTGTGGCCATTCTTATGTTCTTCTGACTGTATAACTTTTAGCCCAGGTTCAATTTCCCTTCCCCGACTTGATAAAAAGAAGGACTCTCAACAGGGTTTACTTGCTTTTCAGGAAAGCGCCCTGCCCACTGGCCTACAGAGCGACTCTCACTCTCTCCGGCCCGGTTAGTATTGAATGAAAGTGGAACCACTTCTGGGGAAGAGCGAGAAAGACTCACAGCCAAATAGATCAGAGACGGGTTGGGCAGGACCTTTCTCTCTCTCCCCTCCTACATGTGGGGTCCCCACGGACATGCCCCCTCAGCCATCTCCTCCCACCTCTTCCCCTCTCCCTAACCCCCCACCCTGCCTCTTCCCGCAGCCAGAGGCCTGTCGAGTTACCTGAATTACCTGTTATGTTCTTCTGGGGGGAGCTGCATGGCTGGTTTCCCAGGTACGACTGGAACTCCTCCAGGCTGGAGCTGTCTTCAGCCTGCTCCTTCTGGGTGTTTCCCTGGAAAACTTCACAACAGCATCCACAGTGGCGACATGTGGCGGGGAAGGAGGGGGACCCGGACCCGCCTCTCCCACCCATTGCTCCGCCCCCTGCCTTTGCTCCGCCTCTGCCCCGCCCACCTTTAAAATGGCCATCGGAGCTTTCTTGCGCAAGAGGGCAGTGTGGACGCTTGGCCGGGGTTTCTTGCACAAGAGAGCATCCACACTGTCATGGGCGCTCTTGCACAAAAGCACAGCTCGCACATGGCCGTGGGGACTTTTTTTGCACAAGACTTCTTGCACAAGAACTCTTGCACAAGATGTTCTTGTGCAAGAAGCCGCCAGTGTAGACATAGCCCAGCATTAGAGGGAACTTTGCTCAACAGCTTAATTTCCTCCTTCCTTTGCACTTGGAACCAGAGGCAGGAATTGCTAAACAGAACCAGGAAGTGTAGTCTGGCATATAAACTGCCGCCAACCTTAAATATTCTGCCTGGTAGCACTTTATAGACTAACAGAACATGTAGATGGTATCATGAGTTGGTGCTAACCACTTTCGGAGTGGTATCCTTCCTGTCTTAGCAATCTATCTATGGACTTTGATTTTTATCTGCTTAGCTTTAAGCATCCAGATACTGCAAGAAAAAGGGAAGGGGGATGGAGACAGAGCATCCATCATTCTCTTTCCTGCCCCCTTTCTCCTCTCCTATTTATTCCGTTTTCATATCCCCTACTCATAACTCTGGTCATCTGTAGAAGTGGGCTGTGCCCACGAAAGCTCATG